AGAACAGGTTTTGATCATCTCCTCAATGCCCAATTTACCCTCAGTTGAGGGAAAGAAAGAAAGAAAAAAAAACCCTCTACCTTTCTCTGGACCTTGGATGAACAGAAATATGGATTTATAAAATATCTGGCTACCTACAGTCAATAAAGCTCATTCTGAAAATGATGCCTATGTACATGATTAACTGGCAGATGATAATCAGAGCCCAGAAGGCATTCAAATACCCATTTCTATAGGCTTTGTTTTCCTTCTCTCTTTCAAAACTCATCTCTTAATTTTTTTTCTTTGACAAATATTCACACACAAAGCCCTGATAAAATGAGGATTTTTGCGAAACATTTTAAACAGCAAGACTGTGATGGGTGTAATCAAAGACATGCAGCAGTAATTCTCGAGCTTCCTATTCACCTCTGTCCAGGGTAAGCTTTCCTCCCTTCTGCACAGCAATCTGAATTCCACACTGAGGGTCACAGCTTCTGTTTGAATCCCCAGCTTATGTCGCTCTGGGTTGCCACCTTGATGCTATTTAGACAGTTTTCTTTTAATGCACAGACAGTGAACTGCTCTCATTTAAACAGGCTTTTATTTGACAAGAGTGCATTCCCTCAGATCGGAAGCTCCACTAACCGTGCTACAATCGTATCACGCGCTGCTATAGTCAACCATGCTGTAAATTTGGGCAATACCACCTATATAGATATTTGCAAGAAAAAAAAAAAACACAGAGAGATTTTAGGGTCATATAGCTCAGAACATTCGAAAGCAAAACTGTTCTCTGCATAACACATAGGAAAACAGCTTTGAATTCCAGTTTGAGAATATAATTATTTTCTGTTTTAAACATTTGGCCGTGTGCTGCTGCGGTACCCTTGCTGGGTCTCACAATGAAACCTAGGAAACTAAGAGCCCTACTGTATGTTCTCCATTCCCAGCAACGTTCCTATGAGGAAACCTTATTAATGAGCTTGCAAACGAGCACCCAACAGGGAAATGTCACAAACAAGAGCGGCTAATGCCCCAGAAAATCAAATAACTGAACACTTGGCTGATTGTGGTGCCTTTCATATTTATAATAAAAGAAGGGGGGTTTAATTCACTGATTCTGAAGGGGTCAACACCTTGCTGAACAAAACAACTCATTTACTTATGTTTAGAAATCTCCAGATGATAAATTACATTGATGTTAATCACTTCAATGCATACTACACAATTAATATCTGTACTCACCAAAAACTTAAGGATTATTAGAAGTATGACAGCATACACATCTGGCTGATTTTTCACATAATTGGGCACAACAATTTCTCCTGGTACCACAAATAAGACTACTAACAAACAAACACTGCAAAATTCTGGTTCAATTAATTAGGACTTGAATCCACAAGACAAAAGCAATTCTGAGTTGCAGCTCAAGTCTTCTATGCTCTGTGGAGAGCCTCCACCTTAAGGGGAAAACCCTCTTCCTTCCCTTTGGCCTGCCTTGTTTTTTTTTTTTTTCAGTCACTGGCATACAGTTCAGGTTGTCACTATTTCACTTCTCTTTAACATTTAAAAAAAAAGAATACAATTTATACAGAATTCAAATATATCACCTGTTATTATTTAAACTTGTTCATTGTTAATATTCATTCTGGAGGGTGCAGATAGACATTGCCACAAGCCTTTCCTGCCCACAACGAACCAGGACTATAGCAATGGAACATACATAATAGCAGTGAAATCTGGTTAGATTTGCCTCAAGGTAGTCTTATCTACTCAGAAGTGAATCTGAGGGGCTTAATATTTCCTGGCGATAAACATTATCACTGAAAGGATAAGAAATATTTTTAAGTGGTAAAGAAAAAGATATTTAAGAAAATAGTTATACATTTGAAAAACAAATACACACAAACACACAGAGTTTTACAGATGTTACTACATAGGTTTTACTTAGGTTAAGGCAATAAAGTGATTGAAAGAAAAATAGGTCTTATAAAGTGTCCCTCAATAGACTCCTTAGACTGTAACCTAAATGTGGTGAATATGCGATTTTATTCATGTTTTGTAGGTCTACAGCTACTGAGGAATTTTAAGGGGATTAGTGATCCCAAAAAAAGTGAGACTAATCAGCCTTAAGGGTTTGGTTCCATTTAAAATACAGGTATACTGACAGTATACTGATAGGTATACTCTTCACAGGGTAGCCACCATAATTAAATGTTCATGCAGACTGGGTGCTGAACAAATTGTCCTAAGACTTGCATGTATTCAGAAATATCTTCTCTCCTCATGGCCATCAGGACCTAGGCTGCCTGGCTTCACAGAAACAGCTGCTATGAGGGATGTGAGCCCCATACGACTGGGAGATGCGTGGAACCAGGGTCGGGCTGGCTGACCAGTGGTGTTGGCCCCAGGGGTAGGATGCTTCTGTTAGTGCTCAGCTCCTGGAGCTTGGGGAAAACAAAGCTGGGAGGAAATGATACAGACAGTTCCATTCCTGTGTGGAGAAGTAATGTGAGGAATTCCTTGTTGATTCTGTGACATTCTTAATAGTGTTCTAGAAATGGACATCAGTCAAGTATCAGGTGACTTTCTTCAATATCGACAAGCTTATTTTGGACTTTAAATTGGATTTGACATTCTCATTCATATTAGTATAAGGCATTATTATTCTTTTTAAATATATTTTTAAAAACCTTTTATTTATTTATTTAATATAGCTTGGATTCGTAGTGATCCTCTTGTCTCAGCCTCCCCAGTGCTGGGACTACAGGCATGTGCCACCAAGTCCAGTTAGACAAGGCGTGCCTGAGGTTCAGAGGCTAGCATGGCGTGTAGTACTGGGGATCAAACCTCGATCCTTGTGCTTGCCAGGCAGGTGCTCAGACCATGGAACTATCTCCCCAGGCCCAAGGCATTATCATTCTTAACCTTCCTTTAGGAAAATAACTTTCCCTGCAATATACTAAAAAAATAGAATATTGAGGATAAATTGTGAGATAACATGTTAGATAAAAGAATAGAGTGTTGTCCTCCTTCAAAAGAAAAAAAACAAAAACAAAAGAACAAAAGCCATGTTAGAGTGGGAATTATCACTAAGTGTTCATCATCTTTGGAAGGTGTTGAATGAAAGTCACTTTCCTGCAGGCAGGAGCCAGCAGTACTTGTTAGATTTGAAGTACAATGGACTTGGATATAGTGCCTTATTGCTTTTCTTGAAAGGACAAATTTCACTTGAATACACAGAATATGGAAGGCAAGGCTTTAAGGATCATGATCTAGTTTTTCAAGGGACAGGAGGTGTGCCACTTGAAATACTATGCATTTGGCAGTATAATTTCGTAGTGGGTGGAACTATATTTAAAAGATACTCTGGGAAACTACTTAAAGAGTTTAGGGGTGGAAAGTGGGCAAATATCTACTCAGGACCCACAAAGGAGCTAATGTATTATTAAAGCTAATGGGCCCCTACAAGGAAAGTTAATGGATATTAAGTTTGCTTAAATGAATTACATATTAACAAAGTCACAAGAAATCTACTATCTGCCAATTTAGATAATATCTAATCATTTCTGTTTTCCCATTATAGGGACATTATACAATAGTTTTAGTGATATGAAAATTATATGCATGATGCTCATAATGAAACTATATAATGAAGTAGATAAAATGAATTAACAAGAAAAACCTGCATTATGTAATGTTAAACTGAGCCACACTCACAGAGTAGGAAAAGGTTGGAATATGATGTCTCTTACAAGCAACTTTTTACACCTTTCTTTGTCTCCTTATTTTGTTCAGGAAAAATACATGAGAAAAGATGTGACTGGTGGCCTCCCAAAGGTCTGCCCAGGTTATAATCCCTGGAGCTTGTGAATGTGGCCTAATGTGGAAACAGAGTCTCTGTAGATACATTTAACTCTAGGATCTCAAGAGATTATTGTGGTCTATCTAAGTGGGATCTACAGCTAGCTACAATTGTCATGACATGCAACACAGAGAAGCCACATATCCAGATGGAGAATGAATTCATGAAGCCAATGCCCAGGAGCTCTTGGGAGTCCTTAGAAGTTGGAAAAGGCAACAAATGATTCTCTCCTAGAGCCTTTGGAGAGAATACGGTGCAACTAACAACTTGATTTTGGTCTTCTGTCCTCCAGAATTGTGAGTGAATGAATTTCTTTGTTTTAAAGACACCAAGTTCTTGGTAACATGATTTATTACAGTGGCTCTAGACACTAATGCAAGAATTCACAGAGGGGAATGCTTTTTTCTTCATAAGATCCCCAATGAAGTCAAACTTTTAGAATATTTAGAATATTAGAATATTTTCACTGCACATATTTAAATGTCACCTGGAGATTTTCAGAAAGCAAGCTATAGAAGCCTTTGACAAAAACTGAGAAGCTGGCTACCTGGTCATAACGTAGGCAAGAGAATGGTTTTTATGTAGAATCTAGATTTTATTTTTTTAAGCAGAAGGGTCTAAAGGAAAATATGAGAACAGCTTTAGTCTATAGCACACTTTAAGGAAACAGTACAACTTCAATGATGAAGCCACTGACACACGGCACTGATCCCAAGAATCTGATTTTCAATTCATTGCTATAATTTAAGATAAAATAGAGGTGGACATGCAATTTAAAACAAAATGCTAATGTGGAAAAGGAATAAAATACCTTCCAAAAAAATCTAATGCTCATGATGGGGTTAAAAGAGGAGGAAATTACCCTAGAATTTGAAGTTGGCATAGAAATGACAACGGTCTACATATTCAAAGAAATTAAATTTGAGTCATATGTTAAAGCAGATTGGAGTCATTTTTGTTCTACATATGAGTTAAATGTAGTATTCTCACACTCACATTGGCACTTTCTAATATGGCAGCATTTCCTTAAGACAATCCTTTAATTATTTTTCTACCTAGACAACAGGAAAAACTTCTATCAGTGCTACATAAATAAAGAGGCTCTAAGCAACTGCCATGCTTTGCCCTCAGAATAAGATGCCCATGTACTCACACTGTACTTCTAGATACCGCTGGGTTTGCAAGTTTCCTGTGACTGCAGGGTGCTCCACCTGACAGATCACGGGGACCCCATCGTCCTCCTTGTGCACCTTCAGCATCAGCTGGCTGGTCACCGTGTACATGTCCGACCACTCTTCCACCTCCGATTTGCCTGTCAGATAGATAACATATCAGACAACCAGAGCTGGGTGATTTTCCATTAATCTGTTTTTAGATCCCCATTCCTCTCTCCAAAACCCAGTGTTGCTATTTTAATAAATACTATGGAAATCTCTTAAAGAACTCTGTGGATAGATACATGACAAAATAATTAGTCTTTAATTTCCAACTTCTCAGCCTTTAAGAATTGTATTTAAGATCTCTTTCAACCCAAAATGCACTATTTTTACTCAAATATATTACATATGTTTTTATTACTTTAAAATCTCCTGCAAGTCAGCTATAAGTTCAACCATTTTGACATCTGGCAGCTCAAGGTATTTAGGAGGAGTAGAAAAGTGCTTTTCAATCCTACAGACATCTGAACTTGAAATATCTATGAGGTTGTCGTGCTGTTTAAAAATTCCAGGACATCATCCAAATCCCCTAAGTAATTCAATCAGCAGTAGAGATATAAACAACCCTTTTTGCCTACCCCCATCATCAACAATTAAGAGGAAAAGTAACTAAATGGATTTACATAATTGAAATTGTAATTGAAATGTTTAAACTCGGAGACTTCTGGAAGACCACAGAGATGCAGTGGCAGTGGGCTAGAGCAAAGGGAGACAGAGGGCTTCGGGCCAGATGGGAAACACATCCAAGAACACCCAGAAGAGGGGGAGGAGGCTTCCGGATGGAATGAATAGCCAAAGCAGTTCCTTCCCGAACCCAGCACTCCCAGGAACATGGCACACCATTAACTTTCTTTTAATGTTTTGTATTTATCAGCACACATTTAATGGCTCAATTCACTTGGACAGAAAAGCAGGGGGGAAATGGGAAACTCCTTCTTTCCCAAACTATACCTAGGCAACAGAAGATCAAGACAGAATAAGCTTTTGGAAATTGAAGCTGTTATATATAGATTTCTCCATTTCCACATATAGATTTCTGTATCACCATTCTAAAAGGTCTTATTCTTTTTTTCCTTATACTGTTTATTTAACAAGCACACACAGATACAGAACTCATTTGGTCTGGTGCTAACTAAATGTTTTACAAGTATTTTCTTATTTATCTTTATAAGGATCCCATACAGTGTGTATTATTATTCCATTTTAGAGGAAAGTGAGACCACCAACTAGTTTTTGTCAGCCCCAGAATCCTGTGCCTAGGGCACAACTTGTGTGGTAGCCCTGAAAGAAAAGATTCTGAGAGCTGTCACAGAGAAAGGGGCTGAGGATGAGAGAGGAGAAATGGCACAGGCTACAGCAGTAGTGGCAGACCTATGGCACACATGTTGCCGAGGGCTGTTTGTACCACCGGAAGCAATAAAAGGCTCCCGATCACTAGACTACATCCTCCCCCACTGCAACAGCTGAGGTGGCAGAACCTTGGAAATACAGGACTCAAACTCAGGAAGACTCAGTGCTGGGGAGGACCACCTGAAGCATGCCACACTGCACTGTCATTGCACAGTCAGAGTGTGCGCAAAACAGGCTGGTGAACCGGGCAACTGAACAATATACTGGGTTGCACAGAAAAGTAACTCTTTGTAAGCTCAATTAAGACCAAACTCTTTCTGCACTTAGTGTAACCTCTTTTGCATAAAAGTACATATACACATATATACCTTTATACAGAGAAGTATGTAATATACTGTATTTTGTATATATAGTACATGTAAAATATAATATATATTCTATATATACAACATATAGTATATTACAATTCTATATATAAATATATATAATGTATATTCTCTATAATCAGCACAGCTCACCATGTAATTAGTGACAGAAGGACTCAGAATTGTAAAAAATACATACCTTACAAATTTGGGGTTTTGACCTACTCTGAGTCACCACATGAGATAGGATAAAAGCAGTAAGAATTGAGATACAGACACAGCCTAACCTGAGGTGATAAACTCCTCCCCACTTCCCCTCCCACCCTTCAGTATTTCTTCCTGGCATAAAAGTTCCAGCCTATAGGGTTAGTTCTTATTTCTTTTTTCTTTTTTTAAATGTATTTAGTAAAGGGCCTATAGGGTCTCACTACACAGATTGGACTCATAGTAATCCTTCTGTTTTCAGCCTCCTGAATGCTAGGATTACAGATGCGAGCACCACCATGCCCAGTCTCAGTCACTGTCTCAGTGTGCCTGGAGGGTGGGCCAGCACAGCTCATGGGGATGGGAGGATGGGGGATGGGTGTCCAATTCCGGTCCCTGGGTCTGCCTAAGCAGGTGCTTTAGTCTGCTGAGTTATCTGGCCGGCCCTAGGGCTAGTTCTTTCTTGACATCTGAGTAGCACAGTGGATATCATCATGAATCCTCAATCCACAGACTGAGAACATGATTTAAAAGAAAAGGTTGCCACGCGTGGCTCAGCTGTCTTTAATAATTGATTATACATTGATATCTAAATTAATCTTTTTGTTTCAAGGGCATGTTTTGCATTTGTCTGTAAATTCCACAAAAACCTGTTTGCTGAATCAAGTGTCAACCACTACTTCAGTACAGGGAAGTCTGTGTCTTACCTTTGAGTTCTTTGTTCCCTTTGAACCATCTGATAGTTGTGGCCGGTTTGCTGGCCATGGCAGTGCAGTTGACTTCAATCTCCTCCCCTTCCACTGCAGTGTCTTTCTGGATATCGATCATCAGGTTACGTGGTGGGACTACAAATTAAACATATGGGCTTTATGAACACATAGACCATTTCTGGACAGTCTTCTATTTACTGGAAACTAGTACTACTGCTATCAAAAAAAGAGACAAATAATGGACTTCCTGATGGGAATTTAAAACATACTGTTACAGGAGGAGGAAAAAGAAAAGCAAAGGCATCATTAAGTAAAGTGTGTTATGCACAATCAGATTTGAAAATCCTCTCCTAAATTTATTTTATAAAATGACCAGTCTTCTCCTAAATTAATCTGACCATGTTATAATAAGAAAGCACTCATCTATCAATTCTTGGAAAATTGATTCAAAAATGGATATAAGAGTATACACTACTAAAATCGTTGTCCTTATCTGAAAGGTCCCAAGGGCAATCATTTTCCTTGAGCTCAACCTTGAATTTCAATCTTATTATGAAAGATTTCAAAGTCTACCAACAAGGATCAAAAACCTGGAGTCCCTTAAAAGAATTGCTCACCATAAACATACACAGAAAAATTGTGCCCCAGAACCAGTTCTATTTAATTAGACTGATTCAGAGAAACCCAGAATGTAATCATGTCCCTCAATAGATGGCATATTAATAAAATCCTTTGGATACAGAATTGCAATAATAGAGGATGCCAATTAGTTTGCAACAATTTTCCACATTCTAAATTTCAATGCTCCAGATTTTAGAAATCAAAGCAGATTTATATATCATAATGAACACTATCTTTCTATAATATTAAACATACATACATATGTATTGTATTAAACATATATATACAATTTAAGCATACATATACATGTTTTATGTATATATAATAAAATAGTCAAAATAAAAGATTTGTGCTAATAATATCAAGGCATGATATTGGTGATGATAATAAAAAAAAACAACAAAAGTTGTTTTGCTTTTCTAATGAAACTGGCTCACAGAGTAACTTTACATAAGGTGCAACCCTACATCAGGACTGAGCCTTTTGAAATAAAAATCAGTAAGAATACTGAATTCAGTGGTATGAATCTAAGAATGTGACCTGACCACCATGAATAAGCAAAGACAGTTCCGAGACTTATGATTAATAAGCTTCTCAACTCAGAAGAGAAACAAGAAATTAAATATGTATCAACATGCCATCCTGATGATCAAGTTGAATAATAAATCTGTGATACTCCTTCAATAAATTATGGGATTAAACCACATACTTGGGATTTCCAACTGTTCTAGTCCAGTGTGAAAACTCTGTCCACAGGAAGACTTTCATACTGAATTGAAACAATTGAAAATTCTTAAGTGAGAATGATGAAAGAGGAAAAACAAAATTATTCGATGCATACATTTCTCAGCAAGATAGTGTATTGTAGTAAAATATATGCCTCCTGAAGCAAAAGCATCCCGCTTTGTTCCCTGTGTACAAGAAAATAACGTATTTGCTCAACTGATACTGCTAATGTGGAAAGGCCCAAATGAATAGTTAAGAACTACCTGTTTACATTTAAAAAAATATGCAAAAATATAATTTAATAGCCAATGGAGCCATGTATCTGCTGGCATTTTAGGTTACACAGCGAGACAGTAGCACAGAAAAGGAATGCCTTCAGCTGCCTATCACCTTATAGAATTTATCCATGCCATGTGACAGGCAGGTTAGAGACTTGCATCCACAGAGCTAGACATTGGATAGGGAATATACAGAGAATAAATGTTTAGGATTAGCAAACATTACTGCACTTTGAATACAGTATAATAAGGATACTGAAAAAACTGCTCATGTTAGGTCAACTGTCAGAGAAAAGACTGTTGAAGCCTAAAGAAAATAAGATGTTGGTAAGCAATAGGGATAGTGTAACAGGAGATTTTTAAAAAGGTAACAACTAGCTGGGCGTGGTGGTGCACAGCTGTGATCCAAGCATTTGAAAGCCTGAGGCAGGAGGATCACTGGGAGTTCAAGACCAGCCTGGGCTAAATAGTGAGATCCTGTCTCCACAAATAAAACAATTAAGGAGGACACAAGTGATATAAGAATGTTCATTCGAATAAATGGAGGATGAAAACCAGAGGACAGTGAGTCTTCTCAGGGTATAGGCAAAACCAAAAATTGAATGATGACAATAATTTTTGGTATTAACATACAGAATAGTTCTCAATGAGAATTGTAAGGTCAGTAACATAATTGATGGGATATGCAGTTGAGGAAAGTGGCACTATGAGGATATAACAGAAGATGAATGCTCAAACTTACTGGTAGTCTTAGAAATCCTTACAGAATAGAATAATTAGACACGACTTTATTACTCCATGACCGACACCTCCAGGGTCACTCTGTGGAAACCTGGGAAACTCCTTGAAATGAGGGCATACCCACAGGTTGTTAAACAACTGCTTTACAAGGCCTTGAAATCAGCGGGACTTAGCCTCAAGTGTAGTCTGTTGGACAGCTGGTTTTGTGTCCCTTGGTACCATTCTTTGATCATTCATGCTGAGCCTGAAGAATTCTTATACTCTTCACCCTGGGCTTCTCTGAACCTCCGCTACCTGTTCATCTCCAATGGATTCTTTTCGTGGAAACTCTACACATTTTCAGTTGTAAAGATAGCGTGTTCTTTCTACATGACAAATAATGTCTTCAGGCTCAAAGGAAGGAAAGGAAAAGGGCCAGATATAAATAAGCACAGAGGAAAAACCCCTAATAACACTTTCATATTTTAAGGGGACCAACAGCTTGACTGGGGTCCTTACCAAGGTTTCTTATTTGCTATTAGCCTTGTTAATTCCTACTCTGCTACAGATGTAGCCTCAAGTTCTGTGAGCAACAGTAAAATTCCTGTACCAATGCTAAATCCTAGGGTTACTCGCCTGAAGAGCTAACATTAATTTTAACTTTATAGCCAAGGTAAAAGTGTAGAAAACTTCAAAAGTGTTGGGAAATATGCCCAGTACAGAAAAATAAAAGAGTTGTTTATTGTTGAGCTCATCATTTTGAGACATAGCTGAATGATTTTTTTTTTCTCAAGTCCACAATGTTTTCTCAAGAGTGTGACCAGTATTTCTAATCTTTCCTAAGATTAGAAGGAGAAATAGGCAAGTACAGTGGGACTTGTTTGGTTTTCAAATATAAAATAAAATCTGATAATGTGACTTATGATGGTTTTTCTGATACTATAAAGTTGACTTCTCTCTGATTTTTTTTTAAGAGCAAGTAAGCTTTGGAAAACATAAATGAGATGATTTAAATCTGTCTTTCTGAAAAAAAGAAGGTTGGGCAAGAAAAAAATTTTGGTGCATTAATCCTATCCTATTTTCCTTCTAACTTCATAACGTCTACTCCAATACAAAAGAGGTTAGTAATGTATAAAAATCCATTTATAAGAAAAATGAATTAAAACTACTGCTAACCGGAGAATACATTTATACACGGTCCACTAAACAGACACATTTAGTAAAAACTGCCTGCAGCCAATAATGAAAATAACCCAAGATAAAGATCTAAGAAGGTGCATATAGATGAAAACTTGAATGAAAATCACAGAGAAAAATACTAGAAAAGAGCAATAAAATGTCAAGGTTCTTCTTAGCTAACCTCAAATCTATAAGAGTGCTAATTATAAACATTACGCCTACAACATTTAAAAAAAATCAGCAATATCAAGATGACTCATATTAATTACAACAAAAGAGGAGTCTTAAAGCTGATCAGTACATGAAATCTCACTCTAAGACCCTTTAAAATAATTAGGTTCTCTTGTTTCTGGAATTTTAAGAGCGAACACTAATCTTACAAACACAGGATGATAATAACATTAGCTACTGTCATCAGTAGCTACAGGGATCTTAAGAGCAGTGTTTCTCTCTCCCATTCATCTCCTGTCCTGAATAGCAGGATAAAGAGTCCTACACTAGGTACTAGAGAAAGAAATAAACTCATTACAAGTGGAAGGAATGAATAACCTAAAAGCTACCCAAATATATGCAAAATATAGCAGAGTTTTCAGTTTTTATGCAGATAAGATCTAAGCACAGTAGTAATTGCAGAATGGAACAGATAATATTAATATCCATCTTTGTACATCTTACAATTATGCTGCAAATTTTGCCAAATGTATCAAATAACTAATAGACATAGGCACTAAAATGAACATCTTAAACCTATCAAGAAGTTTGACAGCTGTGTAAGTACATATGGAATCTTTTTCAGAGAAATGTAGATGGCAACAAAGATGCAAATATAGTCTTCTTCATTCATTATAATATCTGAAAATTCTAAGCCTTAGGAGGAGGTTTGAATATATGTGTTTCAGTGAAAATCGTCAGATTTTGGAATACGAAAGACTCAAACTGATGACAACAATTTTACTCTGTCAGAGCTTCCTAGTGTAAATACAATGGAAAGAATATTAAATGAATGCATAATATCTGCAGAAAGAACATCTACTAGCATTACTTTCAAGTATATTTAAGTTAATGTTCCTATAAAATACAAGCAGGAAGCTATTACTTCTGGAATAATGAGACCTCCAAAAGGATTCAGGCATCAGGCCTTGCAAAAACCTAGTGCTGGTAGGTTGGCTCTGAAGCACAGGGTGTACTCATAGTCAAACCAGTCCAGTGCAGTCAGTGGCTCTAAAAAGAAATATACCAGACACTGGAAGCTGACAGGCAGTAACTTTTTGCCAATGGCCAGACAGACACCTAAAAACAAAAGGTGTGCACCTGCAGAAATAACAGGAAATGTTGTAGCAGCAGCATTCAGGATTTACCAAAAACAACATAGATGAGAAGATATGTAGGTTGTGAGAACAGGAAGGTCTCTTTTGAATTCTCACACTGGTGACTGGGGTCGGTGTGACACAGAGGATCAGGGAGCACTGAGCTACAGCCTCAGTCTTTAAAAAAACTTATTTTGAGGTAGCTTTTTTTCAAGTTGCCCAGGCTGGCCTTGAACTTGTGATCCTCCTGCCTCAGCCCTCTAAGTAATGAGGATCATGGGTGTGCAGCACTGCCACCAACCTAGATTCCTGATTCTTATTGAGTGCTTTGTAACCGGGGCAGAGTGACTAACCTGTGTTATTGCCATACTTGTTCTGTGAAAGTAAGATATCAATAAAGATACCAGCAGTAAAATATTCTGAAAACTCAGAATACCAGACACACATTCCTTTTTATTGCTGTCACTTTTGTGGAAATGCCACTAATGACAATGGGTCAAGGAGCAGATGTTCAATTTAAAGTCTAAGCACCTGAAGGCTTGCTATAATAAGCAAACTGTTTTCACATAAGCACGCAGGCAGAAAACTTTAAATGCATGCTTGTGAGTTCTGGTATACCTGTAAAACACCAAGGTAACTATTCCAGCAAAATCTTCCAAACTTCCTATATCTATAGGTCTAACATGAACTGCAGACACAATACTGACATACACGTATACCTGAAAGTCATCTACCATTGAAGATAGACCACATTAGGAACTGTGTGGAAAGACTTTAAACGTGGCTTTCTACAATCAGTATTCCTCTTACCAAAAGCATATATGTAGGCTTTGGGTACATGTTTTAGCTTAATGAAAAAAAAATATATATTTTCCCATTTACAGCTGTGTTTAAATACAGTAATGAGCCAGCAGTTCAATATGTACATCCATAAATACATGTATGTGCACACACTAAGCAAAAATGCCCTTCATATTTATCTTTCCTCTTTAATCTTAGTATCATTACACCAAAAAGCTGCAGTCTGCCACCTCAAATAGACTTTGATTCATCATCTTCCTGAAGGTGTAAATCAGAGATCTGGCCTCACATTGTAGTATATGTCCTTGAAAATTCATTTTCAGAAGTCCAGATCAGCTGTGTTATGCTCTGGAGTATATTTGTCTAAAAGGTGACTAATTCAGACCACCTTCAGCACAGAACTATCTGCTGACTATCAAAATATAAACACAGAAACCTGGTTGCTGAGATTTTGCTGAAAATCACAATCTGGCGAGCATAAAGGAAAACAGTGGAGTGCACCTAACAGCCTGCCAATGACTCTTTGCTTATTATCAGTTAAGGAGCTCTTAACTCTTTCATGTCCAATGGTTGTGCTCTGCAGTAAAGTATGTATTTGTGGGGTAATCTAGATTATGAGCAATAAACAAGGCAATAAGTGAGGCCAAAGAAAAGAGAATCAGCAACACTAGAATGAGGATGCAACTCAGAAGAGAAACTCATGACACAGATTCCTTAACAGAGCTCTGCCCTGGGGTACAGATGTGGAGCCTATCTTCCCTGCTTCTGCACAGAAGGAAAAAAAAATCCTGGTAGAAGCAATGACATTTCATGTGGTGAGTGATTCATTTGAGGGCTCTAAATTCTCTTGATCTTTGCTTCTGAAGTTTGCGGTTTGAAACCCAAGAGCAGGTGGAATCTATAAAGACTGCTGATTGCCATTCCTTAGAGCGTTTGGTAAAATAGGCTATTTTTAAAATTCAGCAAGATGGGCAGTGATTCGCCCTAAAACAAGTTGGAACAGTGAAATTCATTGTTAACCTCTTCCTTGCAGCTGAAGTCTTTGGTCGTACAGGCCACCCCCACTCCACTGCCAGGATAATTGCTGCGCATGTTTCTTACCCAGGACGGTGATGGTCGTGTAACTCTCCTGTGGGGGGTCGGTGTAGAGCTGGCAGAAGTATCGCCCTTCATCAGAAATTGAGACGTTTGTCAACGACACTTTGAGTTCACTGCTAGAAAAATTCAGCAACTGAAACCTGCTGTCTTTCAAAGCTGTGGAACAAAACAAAGTGTTAGTGATTGTGAGCAAGACAACCATCTATTTTTCTGAACTAGATGAAAAGAACATTGAGCTTCTGTAAGAAGTGGATGCAAAGAAACAGCCCTACCCAAAGGAATTCACACATATGGGTGGTGCAGGTGTAAGCATGCATGCATACACACACACACACACACACACACACACACACACACACCACAGCAAAATTCTAGCCATTGTCTTTTTCACTGCTTATTCATAAATTGTTTCATGTTTCCTATCTAGGAAAATGGAAGGAAAGGGCATATCCTGAATCACCTGACACAGAATTCTACCCTTCTAAGCTCTGGGCACTAGGAGCTCAGGAACTGGGGCCTATAAGCTTTTCAAGTATTTTTAAAAATCCAAGGCTTAAAAACAAAAACAAACAAAAAAACAGTGATTCCAAATTATGAAAAAGAATTTTAAAATCATAAATCATAGTTCCAAAGCAAAATAAAAACCATTTAAAATGTTATATAACAAAGTAGTCCTATTAACTGGAAAGCGTCTTCATTTATGCGATGTCCTTTGATGTGGAGCTACAAACACAGACGGTCTAAGGCCAGGAAGACCTTAAGCTGGTTCTACAGTGCTCTAGCTAGACACAGCTTCATAGCATGGAACTAGATATCGAGAAGGCAATCAGGATGGTGACAAAAGCAGCGCATGTGGACTTCTTACTTATATCAAATGTTCTCTCTTGAAGTCTATTACTTTTGGCATAGGCTCCTTAGCCTATAATGACAAAAATTCAGTTTAAGAAGAGGAAGCTGGCTCCCCTCTTTAATCCTTCCTCTTCCTTACCCATGTTCTTTAGGTTTATCAACTCTTTCCATAGCGTACAATGCCCGTGGCTTTTGGGGAGGAAAGGTGACAAGTCCACAGAAAGGGACATGCTGGACATTGCTTTGGATAAGGTACCGATATTCTCCTATAACATTTTTTCCTAAAGACTTGCTTCTTGTTCTTGTCAAGCCATGATACCCAATCAAACCATTTCTACTACGCACAGCTTAGCTTCCCTAATGGGCTTCTGTGACAATACATTTGGAAAGATTTCAGCATACAAATGCCTCCGTATACCAGAGGCCGTGGTGAGAGATTTGGTTTTGCCGTTTAGGCACAGACTGCCCTGGAAACTTCAATCTTCAAACCAAACAGATTACCTTTCGGAATGCTATATTTTCCTTGCCTCACCCTATTTGAGCTGTCTGTGTCAGCTAAGTATTTGGGACTCAATTGCAATTCACCTTGAATTACTACAATCAATTCCTATTGCAAAGTAAGACTGCCTTACTTTTAAAAAGGACCATTCAAGGTTTCTATTAAGTAGAAAGATTATGATTGCTTGTCTCTTCTTCCCTTTAAAGAATTGACTAAACTTTGAGCAGCTAACATTAAATTTTTAAAAAGTGGACTTAGCAATCTCTTTAGCAAGACAACATGTGAGAAAAAGTTGCTGTCTAACGTGATAGGGATGAAAACTTACGCCTGAAGTCCCTAAAATAAATGGTCTGCCTGTTGGGATTCAGGAGTTGAATCACGGAGTCGTCGCTCTTATTGACTTGGCAGCTGATGGTTGCAACTTCACCTTCGATCACTGTCACATCTTTCGTAAACAAATTCTGCCCATTACCTTTAAAAAAAGGAGGAAAAAAAGATCAGAAAAAAAATTTCATCAACTGAAATATGGTTCATGGGGTCAATTAAAATGAAAACTAGGCAGTGAGGAGTGTATCAGAATGAACACAAGTAGCAACGTTTGGCATGGTTCTGATAGCTTCCTCTCAAGTTCATAAAGTGAGTCTCGTAAGCTAAGACTGAGCTACAGCTAAATACAGCTAAGCCTGGAATTGATGTGGTCCTCTGTGATACAAAATAAAACACTGGATTTATCATTAAAAAAAAAAAGGTTGCAATGTCAAAGTCCTAGCCTCTAGTATTTTGCATGCTGGGTAGTAAGCTCCAGAGGTATTGGAAGGGTCAGAGAATTGGCTTTTGTGAGGAGCTGAACTTTCCCAGCTGGGGATGAAGATGCATATATGGTCAACCATAGCCAACATGCCCTTGAGCTAAGCTATTTGGTCACCTCACAGAAAACTCAAGAGTCCACTTAGCAGAAGTAGGTAGGAAGTTCGATAAATAATCTTGTCTTGTTAGAAGATGTCAAGACGAGCCATCTCCCTGGCCCAATGTTCTCAATGTATAGGCAGTTCACGTAGTCATTGAGTGTGAGAGATCTCTACTCTCACACCTTAGGCCTCGCTCAGGCCCTAGGCAGCCCTGAACCCTGCCTCTTACTGTAGATCACCCCCTCTGGCCGTTTAGTAAATCTTTTTTAGCACATGTCAAAAAAGTCAAGACTTTTCAGATCCACTGATAGAAGATTCATCTCTAGATCTGCTCTAGTTTGTTGCTTCTAAGATTAGTGACAGCAGCCAGGGCACCTCACAAATGTCCTAGATGCTCCACAGCACAGGCAGGAGGAGGGGAGAAGAGTTCAATTCAGAAGCAAAAGATGAAACAATTGTCAACTGTTCAACTCTGCACCTGGCACAGCAGGGGATATGGACGCAAATGACATTATCCCAGCCTTTAAAAAGCACAATTTGTGTAAAACGGGATACCTCACCCATACCTAAGAACAAAACAGGTATTAAGAGCAGAGACATATGGGTCAATCAGGAAGGGGGACAGTGCTTTTTAGCTGTGTGTATGTGTTGGCAGGACTGCTTGTTAGCTGTGCGGTATCAGGAAAATTATTTAAAGGCCCTGAGTGAGTTTCCCATCTGAAAATGGGGACAGTAATTAAAAGTCATCTCACACAACTGATATAAAGCACTCAGCACTATCTAGCTTCTCAGAAAAGCAAATAAATGGTAGCTGGTGCTACTGTCACCGTCATCATATCGTCATCATTACCCTTTCTCTGGATGTCAAAACCAAGCTGTTATTAAGCCATTATGATGTGCAGGGAGTACTGCAGATATAAAAATGCACGATCACAGTCCCTGCTCTAAGAGAGGAGCTCTGCTACACATCCATCCACTCCGGGTGGTTTATTCACTCCGTTAAAAAAAAAGTTGTCACATCGAGACACAAAGGTCAAAGATAAATACTAATCTAAGAAAAAAAATTGAGACAGCATAAATAGAGACGCAATTAGAATAAATGGAGGATTTCCACCTGCTATCATATTTCTGCTGAAGGATCCTTCTTGGCAGGACACAGTGGGAAAGTGTGAGAAGGGTGTCTAAGATGGCTTTAAGCCAAATCCACCTAGAAATAGACCAGCCCCTGGCAGAGGATTAGAAGAGGGGGAACTAGAAGGATAAGAGGGAAAAAAGATTATTAGAGCCACAGATAAACAAAAATTCTTGGTGCTTGAGGAACAAACTAAAATGAAACCTGACCTTGAGCACTGATGCAGGGAATTAACCTGGGTGTGAAGAAGCAGTGCTCAGGGCGTGTAGTGAGCAGAGGGGACATTTTCCCTAGCTTGATCCAGTAGAAGCAGCTTAGTAGGCTGAACAGTGTGACAAAATAACAACAAAGAGAAAAAGTGATCAGAAAAAAGGAAAGGATGCTTTTTTTTTTTTTTTTTTTTCCCCTTAGTGGATTACTGTGACAAATACAGAATTCAGAACCCAGCTGGAGGGAGTATTTTGTTTTCAGATTTGAGGAAAGAACAAGAAGGGAATTCCCACCAATCACATAAGGTTCTGGGGGTGGGTTTTTTGGCCCTAGCAAATTGTGTACAGGAAGGACAAAATCCTTATAGTCTCAGGGTAACACATCTACTATGAAAATTAAGGAGAAATGAAACCGCATGACTCCAGTGCTCTCACTGACTCAAGTCCTGGGACTGGACCAGCAAATGGGATCTTACCTGGTTCTTGGAAGGGGAGGGGTTGTATACTTTGTATATCTAAAGAACATCTATTAGCAATACAAATAATCCTCAGTTTTCAAAAGACACAGGAGAAGAGGCTGCCTGGTACTAGGCATAATCTCTTCGAGGTAAAACAGGACCTCACAGATGCTAACTACTATTGCATCTTGAAGCTACTGGGACTTGAAGCCACTTGCAATTCAATTATGCTCTAATAGATAGTTCCTATGGAAATAACTATAAGCTTTAATTTTTAGCTCTTCATTCGAAATCCTAAGGCTAGTAGATTCTGAGAGGAGCATACTATGTTCATATTAAGGCCATAAAGCATTTATATAGACGATACGAGCAAAGAGGACTTGGCCACGGTTTTTGTTTAAAGCAATGAAGGCAATAAAATGTATTTTTATAAAGTCTAAATATTTCTTTCTTTTTTTTTTTCTTTTGGCGGAACCAGGGATTGAACTCAGGGCCTTGCACTTGCCAGGCAAGTGCTTATTCTACTGAGCTATCTCCCTGGCCCTAGTCTAAATGTTTCTAATTCTACTTTTAATTAGGTACTTTAAGGCCAGGCATTTTAAATATATCATTATAAAGAAAATTATTCAGGTAAATTTTTTCCATTTGTAATTTTTTGCCCTTGCTGTGCTCTAAAGTAATCCATAGTAATATTAACAGTATTATTATTATTAGTATTGGTATTTAGTTATTAAGGTGAACATAAAATCCAGCAACTCAAATCAGGCCAATTCCTAGCTATGTGAACATGGCGGTAATACTAATGCTAAAAAAATCATGTGATAATAAATATTCTGCTGAAAGATACCAAAGCGCTTTGGCTGATGGTGGTGGCCCAAGGATGTCATTTTGTAAAAATCACCAATAAATTATACGGGTCAGCTGAATGGCAGTTACATTAAGCAGAGCTCCATAGTTTGAGGCACCATAGGATGGCTGCAATGGGATAATAATGACCTATTTATTTGAGGCAAAGTAAGTGAATGACAGTGATGAAAATATGGTATGTATGTCAGTACTCTTAACTGCCTGAAGCCTTTATGTAAAAATAATTTCTGCTCACATCCTCAAATATTTCTTCCAAACAGAAGGGTGCACTGTGACTTGATAAATTTCCCCTTGAAACAGGTATCATGACAATTAGGTTGTTATAAAACACAATTTGATGTATAGCAGATAGAAGCAGGCAACTTTGGTGGTTTCTTAAAGAATTCACATAAAAAAACCTTTCTGATTTTCTAAAACTCACTTAGCAGGTATACTGACAAGGCAGAAATAGCACAGGTTCTGGGGAAAAAAAACCAAATAGGTACAATATACGATAGTCATTAAATAAGGTTGTTAATGGCAAGATATTTTATTTTAAGGATAGAACAATGTCTGGTATGTATAGACATTTTGACCATTAATTGGTATATATAAGTAAGATTTAGGAGGCAATATCAAACTGGATTATACTTTATACCAGCAACTACTATGTTATGGAAATATATTCTGTATAACTTCCAAATTCACCCCACAGTTTCTAAAAATAATATTCTGGTACTGGAGAGGCCCATTCATTCACATGCAAGTCTCCTGTGGCAAACTACAAGTTGCTAAGACACTTATCACAATAAGACAAAACGTATCATCTAAGAAACGGTAAAAATTTATTTTGATGATTGGCAAGCTGATGAGGGTTGGAGGTGCAGTTGACACATAAATCTATTTATTCAGACTTCAATTACTGCAGCTTGTGGATTCTTTCCCAAAAACCTCATTTTGTTATAAACTCCACTGAGACAGCATTATATTGATTGGATCCATTCAATCAACAATATGCCCTCCTCAGGGAAGTAAGTGATGGGGCAGATCTGAAGGCAAGAACTAGGAGTGGGAGATGGAGGAAGGGCACACGTTCATCCAGTGCTAGGCTGCACCACACGCTTTGCCCCCTCAAACTTCTGGAGTTTGCAACAGCCCCGCTTTAAAGTTGAAAATCTACAGATTCCCCTCCCGTGCTTTGAGTTAGCTAAGTGGCCACCCTGGCACCTGAATCTCAGCCTGCCAGGCCCTCCTGCCCATGCGGCTTGGACTTCTCACCAGCCAACGACAGCGTGGGTTGCCAAGGTTCTAATGGCACTGCCTTGGAAAATTTACTTGTTTTTAAAGAGGGCTATTTCCCTGTGAGCAACTTCTGATTTTTTTTATTTCCATAATTTATCCAGAACACAATTATACACTTCAAGATGAGAGAGAAACTGTCCTGAATGTAAAACACCTTGTTTACTACTGCTTCCTTCTTTCAGCGCACAGCACACTCTGCCCCCAGAGAAAGCCTTTATTACCAGAGCATGGCAGGCATTTGCCAGCGCTGAGAGCTCTTGCCCCGCTGCCTGGCTGCTAATAAATAAAGCACTTCATTTACACTGGGGGAGTCTCTCTAGTCAAGTCCATAATAAAAGGGCAAGTCATAGTTAAAACAGAAATCAGTCTATGCTATGGCAACTCTGTAAAGCCTTTCTGACAGGGAAGAGTACCCACAACCCTTAACTCAGGATGACGGTTTCCCAGACTGCTAGCAAATGAGAGCTCTGACCTGTTCCTTCAATAGCAGAAGTCATATTAACTCCTGCTCCCTACTGTACAAAAGATTGACCATAACACTGAAATAACATGGTCACTGTTAAAAGAGAAGGACTCAAAGCCAAAATACAGATGGTTAAAAGAAGAAATATACAGCC